TTGAAGTATGTAGATCTAATAGTTTTAAAACTGTTTTTTTTTTATTTATAAGATGATTATATGATCTCACTTTTAATTATGATTTCCGTAAAACTCGTTTTTAACTGATCTCTACTCAACAAAAGAAACATGCTTGCGGAATTTCTCGTTTGTAGATCTAATAGTTTGGGAGATCTCGTGATGAGTAGCTTTTCTTCTTTATACATACAGATTATCCCAAATCTAAAAGAGGTTTCTATGGGGTCTAATATACAACATTCAGTTTAAAACTCACTGTTATTCTGTAGAAACCCATGAATAAAAAAATCTCCAGTCCTTTCGGCCGGAGAATTGAAGAAACACTATTACGAGATGGTTCTATCATATTATAAGCATTGTGTTGTTTATTTCAATTGTTGCAGCAAAATTCCTTAATTTTTAACAACATTATAAACTCAAGACTAAATTGTATATGGGTGGATCTTTAAGCATTATTTAACATTTATTAAAAGATTTAAGGAAGAATTTATGCTAGGCTCCCGTTTTAGCTAAATTACTTATGGGTATAAATTTACACCCAAGGACAAATTGGGCTTATATTTTTAGTGAGTGAGTGAATATTAACGTCGCACTATTCAGCTACTCGAGTGTTTTGCTTATGTTTTTAGAATCGTATATAATGAAGTAATCGTATATATTTTATTTGTATGATTTGAATAGCTTTGGAGTTGAAAAGTCAAATTTATATAAACTAAATGAAGAATTTAAACAATACTTTTAATCAATTAAATAATTTCATACTCTTTCAACTTGGAGAAAAAAAAAAGTAAGCAGAAACAGCAGATTTAAAAACAGTCTGAAAATAGTAAGATAATACAAACTAAAATGAAATAGTTTACGAAACTAGAAACTATTCTGCATTTAAAAATTGTCCGAGTAAAACCGCGTAGCAGCTAGGAGGGTGGTTGAAAATATTCTTCGTTTGAATATAGTGCCATTAAAAACACGAATCTCTTTTTTCGACTGCGTTCAATTATATCGTTATTTATTAAGATGAAAAATACAAGCCAGTAATTTGCATATGAACACGAAGAGCTTGTGTATAAAAGAACGGCTTAAATAGAGTAAAATTATCTCTAAGAGATGAGATGAGGATGCCGGGTCCATGACGGGACCAAATCAAACAGTACCATGGGACCCACATGACTGCTTTAGCGATCTGTTCAATATTTATCCACATATAGAGGTTTGTTTGACGAAAACAGGATCCCGATTTCTTGTAGAGCGGCAAAAATAGCTGGACAGTCAAAAATATAAGCAGGTGTTAGCTATATATCTGAACAGTTATCACAATTCCTGTAAGTTCTTCTACCATCTCTATCAATCTTCAAAGATGAGATAATTTAAGAAATAAAGGAAACACCTAAGAAAATTGCGCAGCTCACAACATGATGAATGTTACCAAGGACAGGGCTACCTTTAACTGGCCTTTGATTGTGTTATTTGTTATCTAGTAATTAAAAGCTTTGATACAAATGTTTATCAATAACATGTAGTGTCAAAGTTCATAAAAATTTAAACCATCAATTGGGGCCATGACAGCCGAGGGGTGATGCCCATGAGTGGTGTGACGTTTGAGAAAAATAATGCTAGCGTGATATTCATCAATTTATATATTTGGTTTATTTACGTCACAGCTATTAATTACAGTATATACATTAAAGTTATTAAAAATATTGGTTAACTCATTAGAGTCCAGAATTTGATGTTTGTGAGGAAGGGAGATCAAAACCGTTGTGTTCGATGTTTTCCAATGGACTTCCTCTGCCCTCTCTAGGGTTTTGAGATGGTAGTGGTTGGTCTTTTATCCTCGAATTACATCCGCTCGTGAGCGGAGGGGGGGGGGGGTTTCTTACAGTGTAGAAAGCTGCCAGGGAAATGACAGAAGATTTTAAGGGTGCACGTGTGCATAGGAACGTGGTTATCTTATCCACAAAAAGATGTCGACTTTTCTGCTGTGTGACGCGAAAACGTCACAGAGGAGTCCGTTACGCCACTGGAATTGATGCATGATAAATATGTTGAAGCTCTAAGTGCTCATATTGGCGAAGTTTGAAGTGTAGGGTGTTAGCTCAAGTTCCGTCTTCCCCGCTTGACTATGTTTCAAAATTAAGAGGTTGGTCACCAATAGCCCTCTAATTGCCTTCTGAGTGTGACATTCATAAAAACTAATCCATAGTGTAACGTGATTATTTATTTAATGCTCTGATTTAGCTCTAGAAGTCCAGTGACTGAGTGATAGCGTTTCGCGGTTCCACGCCACAGGTCCGGGGTTCAAATCCCGGCCTAGGCAAGGTCGACTCAGCCTTTCAGTCGATCGATAAATGAGTACCAGGTTTGCTTGGGAACTTAACACAGGAAGTTTTACGTCAGACTGACCAACTGACCGGAACATCTGCTCATGCACCTCAACGCTCAAGATCACGTATACTGAGCTGGAAACAGTAGGTTTTGGCCCTCATGGGCAGTTGCCTCATTGAGTTTTGCTTATTTATCTCTAATTAGGTATTAATTAATTATAATAAAAGTTAATTTTTCAAATAGAATTCGATACAGTGCATATAAAATCACGGTCAAACAAAGCCAATCGAGTTCTTTTATTCTTATGTAGGTACAGCACATTTCTTTTGAGCCAGTTAGAACTTAAAACATACAGTTATGGATATTTCTGTGTTATTAAATAAATGCACACAACATTTTTTCAAAAAATAAAGTTTTTTTTTTGTGAATATCAAACTTAAAAAAACAGTGAAGTACTTTTAGGTGGATTTTGAGTATAAGGGAAGCGAGAGGGAAATAAGGGGAAAGTGAATATTTTAATCTGTAGGTAATTTCATGAAATAATTTTTTTTAAAAAAAAAATAAAAGAACCTCACTGAGAATTGGCAAAATAAAGTTAACAGGGAAGTATATAGTGAATTAAACCATCTTCCCTGATTCTCGTAATCTATTATATAAATAATATCCAAGTAATGGTAAATTATATCATTTGATATCATATAAGGCAGAAGAAATTAAATACCAATATAAATAATCTCCAAGGTTAGCTTCAAATATGAGGGACAGAGAGAGAAAGAGAAAGATTTGTTACAACTAAAGTACTGTAACTAAAAAAAAAACATCTGTAGTTTAAGACTGATTTTCCTTATTATCTTGAACAATAATAAAATGTAGTGCTTTTTATCAAAGTAGCTCCAAAATTATCACTGCTTAAATCGATATTTACATAAAAATAATTTATCAAATATGTATCGATATGAAGCTCTTCTTTAAACTTGGAATAATATCAAATTTTGACAAATGTATTGATATTGTGGGTCTTGGAATAAATTTTGCTAATATTTAAAAGCTTCGAATGCATGAAGCTATTTGTTAATGAAAATATTAAATTCGAGCATCATAGAGAGCTCAGGATAAAGGCACAGAAGTCAAAATGGAAAATATAATACGGTAAAATATTTTTATATATATATATAAAGCATTTAAAAATTATTCAACTTGCAAATAAACTTAAGGTATCCGACTACGTTCGGAAAGTTGTCTTGCAAAAGCGTATAAATGGATGACTTTTATGACATTTAGGGTCACTTAGATTAAAATACATGTATACAATTGTTTTAAGGATATTATTTTAGTAAAAATTATTTAAATGGAATATTTTGTTAAAAAAAAAAAAAAAAAAACTGAACGTAGAATTACATATTTTCAAAACATTCTCCTTTTATGGAAAATGCTTCTATAATAATATTTCGCCTATATATAGCTCAGATCTCTGCACAGATTATGTGAACAAGGATTTTTGAAATATATAACTTAGAAGTGGATGTATTATTTTAATACAACAGCGTAGATAAATTTTAAGAAAAAAACACCGATAATTATTTCAATTGCTTGCAACTCTGAAAATAATGTAAAATTTTAAAAAATCCTAGCTCAGGCTCCCTGGAGAGATCTTTGCTTTACATAAGCACAAAATATTATTATAGAAGGATTTTTTATCAAAGAAAAATGTTATGAAAATAGATAACTCTAAGTTCAAATTTTGCCAGAATATTGCGTTTCAATAATTTTTTTTTATTTTAATAATATACTTAAAACAATTTTATACGTATCTTCCAATCCAAATTACACTAAATATCGTGAAAATTATCCATTGATATGCTTTTTTTTTAAATCACGGTACCGAACGTATTCGGATACCTTAAGCAAATAAATATGGAATTAAATTGTATTCAAAAGAATTTAGTGGCATAATAGACGTTGAGACGTTATAAAGGCAGAGAAAAAAATTCCACTCAAAATATTCCATTCTGTTTCATAAATCAGTGTTAAATTAAAAGAATCCTGGCAGAGGGAAAAAAATGAGGGCCCTGTGAGGGAGCGTGGACTTAATTCACTTTGGGCGAGAGGTTCTGTGGTGTGTGCAGAAGAGAGAAAGCATCAGCGCAAAAGAGAGGAATGAACGACTTAATAAATATCTCCCTGCTACTCATATGAATCCGTAAGCAATGCGAAACCAGCCAAGCGTGAACAGACCACTCACTTTCTCCACAGACGAGGGTTGCTCTTTTTCGATTCCACCACCCTTCACGCCAAAAGCACGTCTTGGCGAAAAAGAACGGCAGGAATCAGCATGAACTCAATGGATTGTATATTAACGTCGCTTTTTGATATTACACGAGGACTATTGGCGACGGACCAGGTAATTTAGAACCTCAGTCAAGTCTCTTCCCACTCCATGTCAACTATAAGCCTCTGAGTGAGTGAATATTAACATTGCATTGTTTAACTACTTGAGGGCTTTTGGCGACGGACCTGGTAATTTTGAGCTATGGTCAAGTGACGAGGATGACACCCGAGCTGGCACAACCCCTCTCCTAGCTACCACACCACACCAATGGAAGGGCATTTGAGCTCTCGACAGATTTAACGTGCAATTGCCTTTTCTATTCGGCGGGTTTACAGCGGTATGAGACTCGAACTCATGACACGCTGGCCACGAGTCAGTTGCATTGACCACTAGGCCAGTGGACTCCAACCACTGGTCCATTAACCAGTACCGGTGCGCGGATCAAATACTACTGGTCTGCACAAGAAACATTAAATTATTTCCATTTTATTTACTGTGGTATATTTTTCATGGGTTTGGGCTACTTTCTACGAAAATCATTTTATATTCATTTTTGGTGTAATTATATTTTATTCTGAAGGCACGTTTAAATGTATAACTAAATTAAAATTATTAAGTCAAAACAATTTAAAATATAAGCAATCAACGTCCACCCTCCTCAGCGGTCCGCGGTGATAAAAAGGTTGGGGAGCACTGCATTAGGCTACTACGGCCAATATAAACCTCTGAGTATCGAAAGGTTTAACGTGCATCAGGGTTTCGACACAGCTGATTTTTAGTGACGTAGGTGTTTATTGACGCCACAGTCTAAAGCAACATGAGAACTATTGGCGACGGACTTCAAAATTTTCAACCGCGCTCAAGTGACGAGGACGACACCTCACTTTTCTAACTTCCACACCGTACAGACGTGTCTCCAGTGGCATTATTTAGAACCTGTGACTCTAGAAAGCCAATCACGAGTTCATGAGCACAGGGACGTATTAAGACTTCTTGAGGCCTTGAGCCCCTACAGAAATGTATATAAGCCCCACCTTTGATTCTTAACAGTAGACAGTACATATAGCATGCATTGTCAAATATTCGTTCAAACAATAACGCGAAACAAATAAATGTGTATGATTTAAATCACAGAAACTGGTTGGACCGAATGTCACCTTTTGACTAATGGTGTATGGCGGTAGGCCTAGGCCTGTACATGGATCGCACTCATCACAGTCAATGAATATTAACGTCGCACACTGTTCAGCTACACCAATGCTTTTGGCGACGGACCACGTAATTTTGAATAATGGTCAAGTGACGTGGACGACACCTGAGCTGGCACTCCCTATCTCCTAACTACCACACCACACCAATAGGAGGACGTTTCGGCTCTCGACAGATTTAACGTTCATCTCTGCCCTACACGGCGGGTCTTTAGTGGTACAGGGCTCGAACGCATGACATGCTGGCCATGATCCGATACCTTGACCATTTTGTTACCGCAGCCCTGTCGCGCTCATCACATGCAACCAGTTGACATATCGTCCGAAATTCCCAGTGTTTAGGAGAATACAACCGGAAATGGCATTTTGACCCCATCGCAATTATTAGAAATATGATCTTATTAAGGCTGAGTTGAGAACGAGACAAGATCCCCATTTCGGCCGAGGACCTGGTCCCGGGCCCAGTTGGCTCATGCGTTAAGACGTCTTTTCGTGACCATGACCACTAGGGTATCGTGGCCTCTAAACTTGTTTAGAAATTGATAGCTTTTAAAATTTTAGCTTGAAATCATATTTTTTTTATTTAATATTTTTATTAAAAAAATTTACAATAAAAAAAATATGATTTCAAGCTAAAATTTTAAAAGCTATCAATTTCTAAACAAGTTTAGAGGCCACGATACCCNCACAAGCTAACTATTTCTAAAAAAATATAGAGATTGTTACATTTTAAAGAATGCTTAAGAAATGTGGATTCCTTAACAACCTGTTTCGAAAGATTCAAGTATTTGTTATTAGAAAAAAAATGTCGCTGAATCATTATAGGCAGCTTTGTTTAAAAATAGTTGTTCACAATAAACAGTTACAAACTTAATTTAAACTTAGTTTTCAAATAAGTATTTTTTCCAGTGATATAAAAAGTGACGTATTATAGATCCGTCATATGTCATGCTTATTGAAAATAAGGAGAAAAAAAATGACAATTATTTTTAATGGGCTGTTTTGTATGCATTTAACTGTATTTTATTTATATCATGCGTTAGAGATGCGTGTGAATTTATTCACATATTTTATTCTAACCCTACACGAATAACAATTTCTTTCCGTAAATATTAGAATTTTTTATAGCAGAAAATTAACATGACCAAAAACATATTCATTGGTAACTATAAAAAATTAAAAAGCAGCGAAAAATCCAAAAATATATTTCAAAAATTAATCAAAGAACTGTGTGTGTATCAAATATTGAAACTTATTTTTCGTTTCCAAAATGTTCTCACCCAGTGTACTAATTTCTTCTTAAGTAAACGACAAACTACAGAATACTTCCTGTTTATCTGGAAAGGTAAAGAAAATAATTTTTATTTCTTTTTATATTAATTCTTAAGCATACACATCAAATTATAGTCTATAGTTTATTTCTTTTCCAACAGCACTGAATTATAATACTCTTTCTTTGGCGATAAACAGCCAAGTATGGCAATCGTGAACCTTTTCTCCGCCGGAGTGTTTCCTGATGCGGATCTTTCCCGACCCTCCGTAATCCCAGCATCAGAAATCGACAGCTGGTGTCTTTCTCTGGCCCGTCACCCGCACGTCGGCAGACCACGGGTCAGCGGGTGATGCGCTCACTGGTCAGGGATGGAGTCCAACAAGGAAGAAAAAATGTCATGTGTCTCATTTTCGCGACGTCCTTAGATATTTTTCGTCGGTGCATTTTTTGGATAAAAATCTTTGGGGATGAACACTTCAGAGAGATTTTTTTTTGTGAGACTTTTTTTTTTATGAACTGCCTTACAAGTTCTTTCTTTTTTTATCGAAGAGATTCAAGAGATTTTTTTCATGTTCTAAAATCGCCATCTTCAACCACCCCCCACATTCAAAATACATCAATATCGTCTTATAATTTTTTTTTTTTCATAATTTACTTTTAACTGTGGGTGAATAAAGTGTGCTTTATAAAAAAAATATCAAATAATTCTTAACCAAGCTTTTCCTGATTTTATTAAGCTCTCACGTAGGCGCAACGTGGAATTTCGGAGGAGGTGGGCCCGTTCAGGTATCATCGTCATCGCCACTTGACCATGGCTCAAAATTACGAGGTCCGTCACCAAGCTAAATAAAATAAATCTCATAATTTTTAACCATGATCAAGTACAATTAAGTTATCTGAGATGTGCCATTCCACTGTTCAACTTTCCATCCCCCGCCAACGTGGGGAATTTGAGCTGCATGGTGGGTCTTTAGTAGCACCAGGACCCAACCCATTACTCGAGAACGCCATTCACGTGTTCGACCTTGTATACGTCTAGAGATCGGTACTAAACTCATTAAAAAGGACCAAGAACTGGACAGTTATTTAATTTCGACAAAGTATATTTACAAGCTTTTCACTTGAGAGGCATAAAAAGTAAACTTTATTGAGCAAAACGGAAGGCAAATATTTAAAGGAGAAAAAAACAAGATGAAAGTTGTTTATGTAGAATTAACTGATGTCTTAACAAGTCATACCACATCAGATATTAGCCAACTGAATTGTAATCTCTCTTAGAAATGGCTTAGAAATCTAGAAAAATCCCCTTTTGAATCCCTTCTTTAGACTCTCTTTTCAACTGCCTAGAACAGTGGTAACTATATTGGTGAAATGGGTGACGTCATTTTCCAGGTCGTGCGGGCGTGAGTAAGTAAATATTAACTTCACACTATTCAACTTCTCTAGGGCTTTTGGCTATGGACCTCGTCATTTTGAACCATGGTCAAGTGACGAGGACGACACCTAAGCTGCCCCTCACCCTCTCCTACCACACCAATCGGAGGACATTTTAACGTCTACATATTTAACGTGCATCGTCCCCCTATGCATGGCGGGTATTCAGCAGTACTAGGCTCGAACTCACGACACACCGGCTGCGAGTTCGTTACCTTGACCATTAGGCTACCGCGGTTACACATTAGGTCATGTGTATGAATCCTGGTGCCCCTAAGGACCCGCCATGTAGAGAAGCTGATGCTCACTAAATCAGCCATGACGCCTAGTCAACACGCTGGCGTAGTGTTAAAATTTTGTATGTGAGATGCCAGCTCAAGTATCGTCCTCTCACTTGACCGAGGTTCGTCGCAAATAGTTCTCGCGTTACTTGTTTGCTTGTTTATTAACAGTGAATCTTGCAGCTTTAAACGGTGGTCGAGGGACAAACGACACTAGAGCTAGTACCTCACTATCATACTATTTCCGAGTGTCATGTTGGTAAACAACCAATCAACTAAGGTGGAGGTGGGGTACCTTTTTACCATTAGAGGGCACATGTAAATTAAGGTTGATGTACTATAAATGGGATTTGTATGAAATCATTTTTTTTGCATAGTTTTAACAATTTAGTGAATTATATAGAAATATTATAAATAAATAAATTCTTATTTATTTATTATTTGACGTAAGTTACATTATAAAAATTTTTTGTAGTCACATAAGGGGAAAAACTCTTATTATAAAATTATTATTTTATTATAAAGTTATTATATAAAGTCATTGATACCTTCGTAACTTTTTATAATTTACTGTTGGTATTTTTATTTATGTGAACACACACAAAGCGAAGCCTTTATTGATCCTGTAAATGAGTATGTCTGGTAGTGTTGCTATGTAGCACTAGGGGGCGTTCTAACATTTGAAGTGTGCAGTTGGCTATTCCCACAAGCAGTCATTGAAATATACATGCATTCATACATACATTCATTTTGTTCTTTATTTCTATTGATTTGCAGACTGTTGTAATCTTTATAATTAAATATTAATACAGGTGCTACCTTTTGTGAAGGCCACTCAAACTCACGGGGGGCCGCAGGTTCCCTACCTCTGAACTAAGGGATGGTATGCAATTAAAGAGGCTTAAACACTACAATTTCTAAATTGCAGCCATCCTCTTATTTATTTTGTTTCTTGTCGAGCATTTCATTGTATGTAATCCCCGTATATGGCTTATCTTGTCGTAAATAAATTTCATTTCCCAATAAATTTCTTTTTAAGCTCTTCAAGAGTTTGTAAGTGACTACCAATTCAGCTTTTAATTTTTAAGGAAAAAATATTTTTCAATGCACAATCTTCATGGCAATTAAAAAAAAATCACTATTTCTTAAAATTAATCTTTAATTTAAAAATCTGAGTAAATTTTAAATTTCTTACATTTTTTCATCTTTTCTTAAATA